GCAAGTGACCAAAGTTCGGCCTGCCAATTGGCTCATTCATTTCTTAAGCCCAAACCCCTATTTTTTTTTTACTTTACAGTGTTTTTTTAGCTGAACATAAACACTTTTGCTATCCATAAATGTCAGAATCTTGGCTAGAAGCTGGTAAAAAAACATTTCTATGATCACTCAAGACAGTTAAAATTACAAGCAGTTGAAAATAGAACTATAAAAGTGAAAATAAAATTGGTTTTAAAATTTGACAAGTCAGAGATGTTGGAATATTATTCATGTTAAATATGAGGCATAYWGTGTTCTTTTTGTTTTTGATATAGTTTCATTTTCACTACTTTTATATGTTGCATTCATGATTAAAGACAGCAAAAAAAACTTTTTCTAAGGTATATCTTTGTAATACTTGGTTTATTTCCATAATAACTTTAATTGCTGGATGTTTGGCCCCTGAGCTGTATAGTTTAGTTGAATAGCCCTGCTCTATGTCCTCATGAACACAGTTTAAACTTTTGACTTGGAAAAAACAGTAAATCATGACAATTTAGGAATAATTTACTGTATTTTATTAAACAGTGCACTAATAATACTGTAGTCAGTTTGACAGTGATGTTACCAACAAATAAAACAACAATCGTTACTGATGACTGGTGCAGTTTTTTCKCAACAAACTGAGATTTTATAATGACTTTGTGTTCTCCTATAAAAACTGAAATACTGAAAGCAAATGTGTGATGATGCTGTGATGAACTGGTGACCTTGTCTTGGGTTTATATCCTGCCTCTCACCTGCTCTTTTCTCATGACGCTGTCCTGACAAAGCAGGTAAAGAAAACAGACTAGAATGGATCGGCCGGAGGCAGCCTTCACGATTAGTTAAAAACCCATCAGTAAAACCATTTGCGATGTCGTATTTTTTTTAAAGGATCATTAAATGGGAGGAGCGGGTCTTTCTGTGGCGAGCAGAGCTGCATGAGGAGGTTTTACCTTGAAACAAAGCTTCATTTAGAACACAAACGAACTAAAACAGGCCGTGAGCGTGTCACGCTGATGACACCCGGTTTAACAGAAAGACGGGGTGAATGATTCGATTTTATACAAGATGTGATGACATCACAGATGAAGCCAATTAGAAAGATACACTCATGAGCAAAGCAGAGTGCGTCTGAGTGACACGTATGAACACCCCCCCACGAGCTGCCACCCAGGTGGACTGAAAGCAGAGGCTGGGTCAGACGGCAGAAAAGCACTGCAATTATAGAGGAAGGATGACGGCAGCGAGTTCCTACGTCTTCAACCCTGAGTGCAGAATGAAAGGGTGGAAATAAAAGGAGACAGGTGCTTTTTTTGGATTCATCCAACCGTCATTTTCTGCTTACAAAGCAACAGTCATCTTTTTTTATCAGCTTCTCAGTCATAAAGCAGGCTGGAGTTTGATTATTTTTTCTTTTGCTTGACCATTTTTACAGGTTTGATTTTGATGAACGATACAGAGGACCACTAAATAGCTTTTATACTTATAGAATAATAACAACAGAATTATAACAACCTTATTGTTCTGTGTATCGTTTTTCTGATGCTTTTAATTTGCTTTGTTGTTTTTATTCCTATTTTTTCCTCTTTTTATTGTTCAGCACTTTGGTGACAACCTGTTGTTTTTTAAAAATGTGCTTCATAAATACATTTGATGGGACTCAAATGTCCTCTATCTATAATTAAAATAAATTGATCACACATGACGCTGCATGTTTGGTGAGTTAAACTGCATTTATAATAAAATAAAAGGTAAAGATTTCTGGAATATCAAAGCTGATTTTAGTTTTATTTTATTTTTGTGTGTGAATAAATGTTTCCAAAGAATAAAAGAATTAAAAGGCTGGCATTTCATTTCGTTTCTTCCCCCCYCTACCTTTCATAATTTAAACTAAGGTGAACTAATTTTGAAAAATGACAGATACAGATTTAGTCAAACCTTAAACATAACATTGTGAGCATTTTTTTTATCTGATAATGTTTCTTACTTGATTTTAAAGAGCTTGGAATATGTGTCATGAATGTTTTATATATAATATAATATAATATAATATAATATAATATAATATAATATATGTTATAGTATAGTTTTTTTTTGTGTTTGCTACAATTAGTTTGCTGTGGCAGCCATCTTGAATTTGGTGGACTCCAAAAGTTGATGAGTTACAAAGAAAAGTTTCCGAGTTTCAGTAAAATCTGTTCAATAAGATATTTTGCTAAAAGGCAGACATAGTTGGCTTTAACAGCTACAGGTAAAGTTTTACAACTCATGTCTCACGTCATCACTTAGTGCTCAAAGTATGTGTTGAGAAATACTCTCATCCACTCCTATGTCAAATTTGAATTTAGTACCTGTAAATTATGCTGAATTGGAGCTGTTTTTATTTTGGAAAAGGTCACTTAGCTGTGGCGGCCATCTTGAATCAGGTTCCAATGATTACATTCTGAAAGTTGCATTGATATTCATCTAATAGCTCATAAATATGCTGCTAATAGGCAACCATTTTCTCTCCCTCACACACACACACACATTTGTTTCTCGACCCTGTGGGGACCTTCCATTGACTTCCATTCATGTTTTTTAGACTTTATATCCTAACCCTGACCATATACTCTAAAATTAACCTCACAGAAACTTACCTGACCCTAAAACTAACCTAAACCTTGGTCCTAAACCTGACCCTGAAACTAACCTAAACCTTGGTCCTAAACCTAACCCCACACCTGTAACATGCATTTGGACCCGTGGGGACCAATGTCAGGTCCCCACGGGTCCAAATGCATGTTCCAGGTGTGGGGTTAGGTTTAGGACCAAGGTTTAGGTTAGTTTTAGGGTCAGGTAAGTTTCTGTGAGGTTAATTTTAGAGTATATGGTCAGGGTTAGGATATAAAGTCTAAAAAACATGAATGGAAGTCAATGGAAGGTCCCCACAGGGTCAAGAAACAAATGTGTGTGTGTGTGGAGACGGGTTTTTCCTACAACGTGGGGTATTTTTTACAAAAAAAAGCAGCCAGTTGTGGACCAAAGTGAATCCCGTGGGGACCTGACATTGGTCCCCACGGGTCCAAATGCATGTTACAGGTGTGGGGTTAGGTTTAGGACCAAGGTTTAGGTTAGTTTTAGGG